AAGTATTGAAATTAGAGACTCGTGGAGTTACCATTTTCAAACCACATTGTTCACCCTAAACCGGATCAAGACCAAGACATATATGCTAGGGCTGTGTTTTGGCAACAGAGTATTTTTACAGTTTTACAAGAAATACCGTGGTTTTGGATAAAGCCATTATTTTAAATACTTCTGTTTGGCATGAACAGATGCGGCGGTTTTAGAAACTGTAGTTTTCTTGAAACCATGTTTTTTTTTTGCTATATTAGAAAAAGAGGTTGGGACCACTTTTTCATAAACAGAGGCTCTCCCCTGCAATTTTTTGACCCCATCTTCTAGCCATCCTCGTTCATCCATCTCTGCTACCATGGACAAATGAAGTTCACGAGGAAGGTATGTGCGTGATTGATTGATTGAGCCCATCAACACAATTCCATGCGCGTGATGGAGCAATGCTAGACGTACAGGAAGTTACAGGGGGTTTACGGGGCTGTTGGGGTGTGATTGGCAGAGATCTAATTAGAAGGGCAGGCCCACCAGTGAAAATCAGGGGGGCGCCAGTTAGATGAAGCCACGTTCTCTTCCTGTAAAGTTTTGTATCAATCACCCTGTATGTCTAGTATTATTGCGCGTGATGTAGTATGATTGATTGCGCCCACGACTTCCTAGATCAGTGATCAGCTGGGCGTCCTTTAGCAAACTCTGATTAAACCGGTCTTGTAGCTCCTTAGGTGTAGCTAGCAGTGGCGGGTCTAGGGGTGGGGCATGGCCCCCACATACAATTGGCAGATTTTTTTACTAGTGCATTCATATGCATATTCGGTACTTTGTTAACTATTTGTAATGTGTTTTAAGAAAAAAAAATGCTACCCTTTGTAATATTTCCCTCACGTCGGTCAAGTTCTAGATCCGCCACTGGTAGGTGGGTTAGGTTCAGTTGTGCTGTAATCCGTCAAACTACGGTAAAACAGCACCAGCCGAACATATCTGTAGTCTTCCGAAAACTAAGAAAATTGCAGCTTTTAGAAACTGTAGTATGTGATGCCCAGACATTGCAATACCAAGGTCTCAAAATACTACGGTATTTTAAAAACTATGTTGCCAAATTAGGCCTAGAATGCATGCAGGGCACTCCTTCGGGTATGCATATATAAGTTCATCTGACTTGGGTAACGTTTGATCTCACTTGTTGGCATTCAGTGGTATCCTCGGTCGGTGATTCACTAGGTCCAAGCGTGATAGCGGCATTCTTACATTCAGCACTGTTGTGTGACTCCCAGTTGGACTTAAAAGAGGTTTATTTATGATAAATGAATTTTTAATATGGTCATTAATCTTATTCTCTGTCCACCCAAGACTAATTACATGGTGAGGACAACAAAGAGATCTATGTTGGAGGAACTCACAACCACCGGGGCAGCATAAGACGGAAGTTTGAACTTTAGTGAAAAGAGGATGCCCAAACAAGAAGACCGGTGGCATAGTTAGGGGGTGGACGGGGTGGTCCATGGATCATCATGAAATTTTCCTATAGCCTATATATTATAGAATAATAATAATATTTTAGTATATATATAATCTATACCTACTAATAAAAGAAATAGGTATTCTTAGTCCATCATGCTATTTTATAGAAAACTCCTTGATTTTTCTGACATTAAACCCGTAGTAGATATCAAATGTTTTTTAAAATATTCATATCTTCTAAACCGTAACTCCAAATTTAACATGTTATATATGAATTTTGATTAAAAGAATATGTAGAATTTGAATATGATGTTATTTTACCTGTTAACAATTAAAAAAACACTATCTAGGATGCAATCTTAATCAATAATGCATTATCTGTCTGTTTTTGTCGTGTTCCTTTACTGGCCCGTAACAATACCCCATTTCACACATGACAAGAATAAATGCATGATCACTTGGCCGTTTCTTTGTACGGATTAAATCTATATGCAAGTCATGTTGAAATATAATACTTGTGGAATCTTGAATTGCGCTTTTGTAGGCTAAGACCATCTTTGTTTGGATCGTAGCTACAAATTCTGAGATTATAGACCACTTTTTGTAAATTAAGAACATGTGGTATTTTTTTCTCCCGTTGCAACGCACGGGTCTTTTTGCTAGTTAAATTCAAATGAAAAGTTCTACTGTTGGACCACCCTAGCTTTTTGGGCTAGCTACAGTATTGACAGTGTCATCCACACGGCAAGGGCGCTAAACTTGCAAGTACCCATTGATTATTTGTTATTACAAATTGGCCCCTCGGATGTTGCGGCCTTTGAGGTTTTGCTAGTTAGTATTCTATATACGTGGGGAATATCAGGTGATACAATTCCTGAAATGCTCCCTTGATACCAACTTTGAAAAAACAAATTTAAATGTTTCAAAAAATTCTGTTTTTTTATGTTCACAAGGTATGTGTCTACGACCCCTAAAAACTCAGATCCAAATTTAAAATACACAATGAAAAACAAAAAAGACAAATCTAGCATGAATAGTGCCACAAAAAGTCAAAAGCAAAATTGACCCTATTCAAATCAGGATTGCCTTTCTTTCTCAATGTGCATTTTGTATTTGGACCTGAAATTTTAAGGGATTGTAGACACATTCCTTGTGAACACTCATATTTTTTTCTAGAATTTTTTAAAACATTGAAAATTGTTTTTTTCTTGAAATGGGAGCATGTGGGAGTTGGTATCACCGGATATTCCCCCTCTACGTACCGTTCAAAGCGAAAACAGAGCATTTTGTTTTGGAAAACAGAGCATTTACGTCCAACAAAAATATTTAGACGTGATGCAACCGATCCATTGATCCAGCCAAGTGATTCATTCCATGAACATATGCACCGACAACCCAATCCATGTGAGCGAATAAAAACACTCATTATATCATTGCAATATGGATGGGCAGTCTTAACGACAAAAGCAACCTGCTTTCCACTGGAGAAATACATGGACAACAGAAACCAATCGCATCTATTTACATTTCATAGTCTGAAACCTCGTACATAAAGTCAATGCATTCAGCATAAACTTACAAAGCTACTGTAAATGATGTGGAAGTGAATGCATTAGCTAATCGACAAACGACTCGACCATAACACTGTCAGCAAACACATATGCTCACATCGCATCGCATGCGTAGGTTGTAGATTTGAAGTACCTCTAGTTTAGCCTTCTACTATCTCTTCAGGGGTTTACTCTGCTCAGCTTCACCAATACTGAAGGGCAGAGGCAGTCCACTGTGTATTGCACAGAATTTCTGGTAGCAAAAGAAATTGCCTGACAATAAATACTACTGCCTTTCTTCAGATTCCAAATAGATGAATTCCTCTGAGGTAGCATAGATTACTGTATATCTTCAATCGTGGCACTATTTTCTAAAATCTAATTTATCTTTTATTTCTTGGAAAGCTGCAGCGAGTAAGCAATCAAAATTGACAGTCTCTTCTAAATATTTCCGTTCGATGTGTATGACCAGTACTCGTTGACCAGTTTGCGGAAGAGAGATCCTTCAGTTTCCATGAGCTTTGTAGGTTTGTCATACTCCACTACTCTCCCTGGATTGTAAGTGTTCATATATAGCTCATTAGTGTGGAAAAGATCACAATACATTTGATTTCAAGTATAATTCAAATATTCCATATTGATTGGTTCAGGTCAATAAGACAACCAGTCTTATAAGAAGGTCACAATATTTCTTATAAGTTGCCGGTAAGAGAAACATACCATCGCTCATTGCAAGTACCATATCACAGTCCGTAACTGTTGGTATACGGTGTGCAACTGTAATAACAGTGCAATATTTGAATTCTGTCCGGATTGTTTTCTGAAGGACAGCATCTGTTGCATTGTCTATAGAGGCTGTTGCTTCATCAAGAACTAAGATACGGCATCTTCTCAAAAGTGCGCGTCCCAGACAGAAGAGCTGTCTTTGACCCATACTCCAGTTCGACCCGTCTTCCACAACTATTAAGATAAGATCTTGATCAGTATCATGAATGAGATAGTTCCAAACATCATGCTACCAAAAGATGAGAGCCATTAAGAGTCCGATTCGTGGTTGGAGATAAGTCTATTGGTGGGTTCAAAGTACTTGCGACCACACCCTCCTCTATTGCTGAAGAATACGCCTAGGACTAATAACAGTTTGACATATTTAGTGGCACATGTATTGTCACAGCTATTTCAATTTCTGAAATGATTAGAGCAGAGTTTCTGTTTGCCCAAGTTATTAGTATCAAAAAATGAACTCCAGAAAAGAAACTATAGATAGAAGTGAAGTTTCCTACCATGTGAATCCAATCCGTGATCCTTCTCCTGGACAGCTTCAAGAAGTTGACATTTGTCAAGAACCTGCAGCATAATAACAAATAGAGTAACCACTTTAGTTAGTGATTCCCTTTGAAATGTACATATGCCATAAACTGAGAAACAGGGGTTCTAAGCCTAAGCACAGTTTCAAGAGGTGTGGCTTTACACTCCTACCAGGCCATCACCCATGTTTGAGTTCTCCCCAACTAAAATTTGGGTGCCTATTTCTTCAATCAGTGAAAAGTTGTCTGATCATTAGGTAAGACAAGAAAAGGCAACATTTATATCTGTGAACATCGTACCTCCCATATTTGTTGATCTGAGAATTGCCCAAGAGGATCTAGATTGTATCTTACTGTACCCTGAAAAAGTGTTGGATCTTGTGGAATGATACCCAAACGCGAACGCAGGTCATGCAAGCCTATTGTACTGATGTCCACAGAGTCTATAATTATTTTCCCTTCGGCGGGTTCAACAAGACGAAACAATGCACCAATTAATGTTGTCTTGCCACTTCCCGTTCGACCAACTATACCAATCTTATTTCCAGCTTCAAACCTGCATGTGATTCCATGTAGTACAAGGGGAGCATCTTTCCTATACCTGATCTGTCAGATGAAAATCAATCGCATAAATTTGTTAGAAGTGTTAATAGGATTTTACCGTGTAAGGTGGAGATGTAAATATATCTGATTACCTTCAAATCTCTAAGCTCCACATTACCATCTTGGGCCAATCTGGTGATGGTCGATTTTCCTCAACAACTTCTGCTGCTTCACTTTGTATGTCCATGTACTGGTTCACCCGTTCCACCGAGATTATTTGATTCGCCAGGTTGCATTGGTTTTGAATAGAGAAAACAAATGACATATTTAGGGAAAGACCATAGGACAATGCCATTCCCACAAAACCTGTCCAAGTACGAAAAAGGAATTAATTCTACTGTTTGTAATGTTGATATTCATAAACTGTATATAATACAGTATCAGATAATTTATTTAGTTGCTCCGGCACATAAGCATTAGGACTAAAACTGTATTTCCATAGAAGATACAAACCTATCCATAAAATAATCAGAACAAGTGGTAGCTTGAGAATGTTAAGGTGTTTTATATTCACCATATTGTGCCAGGTAAAGTGCAGCAAATATAATTTTCATGCAACAATAACATTAATATCTTAATTCTCTAATCAGGACATCCTAGAAAGGATTTAGTCAAACATTTATAACTTTGATTACTATTATAAAAAAATATCTGGACTAGCAAGGTCAAAATACTAACATCAGATTTTTCATCGATATTATTTTCGCAATATAACTCTCTTCTAGTTTCTACAGATATGTCATTGGAGACCCATGTCCTCTCTAAAACATCATCTATTTACGACTGGATGGAGTATCAAGTATGTTCTACTAACAAAAGGTGACTACTAAACTTTGTCCAGGTATTTGAAGTAACGTGACATTCATATAATTACTTACCAGGACTAAAAGTTCCTTGAGGAAGAAGGGCCATGACAAAGGCAGAAAAAGAAAGAACTGCGGCGCTCATTATCTCCAGACGTTGAATCAACCATTCAGTTGATGCAAAATTATAGAAATATGGGCTGGCATTCTTGTCAACAAGGTCCAAATTTTTAGCAAAGAAACGATCTTCTTTCTCAAAGGCCCTTATGGTTATAGCCCCTGCAATCGATTCACCTAAGTGATTCGCTAGAGCAGACTTGGTGGTACCATTGATCCGCATCAATTCCTTGGCCGAGGCTAGGTAGTACCTCTGCATGACCAACCATGATAGTTTTCAGTTAATGAGACACCCTAGACTACTGACAGGACAAAAACAGCAGCAGAGAACATCAATTGGATTGCTGAATGAAATCAAATAATCATAGACATGATGCTTAACAATAAAGAAACAAAGTCATACCAATTACCTGCAGCCTAATTGCCAAAACTATCATTGGCACAGATACAAACAGAACTTGCCATGTAACAACAGCCAGTACCCCTAGATTGCTATATGCGTTTAAGCTGGCACCAAGGCTAAATACGAAGGCGAATGGAACATCAAGGTCAACGATACTCAAATCTGAAGAGACCTGCATTAGAAGAAAAAGGGAGCGAGTTAATCTATCATGAGAACATTCTCTGGGTATAAAACGTAGCTGAAACTTGTTGTCTTTGCCATTGGTTTAAGAATTTTTACCCGGCTAAGAACCCTTCCAAGAGGAGTAGAATCAAAAAAGGACATTGGTGCACGGAATAATGAATTGAGTAGCTGGGAAAATAAGGATCGTGATGTCTGGATCCCAAGAACAACGACTGCCAAAGATCTTGATAGCAAGAAGAACACTGTGCAAACTCCGATAATAATGTACACAGAAATTAACTTCAGCATACTAACATGAGGATTTTGGACATTAGCAGCCATCCATGAATTCTGTGATATTTGCCCAGCTACGAAAATTATGTGAGAAATAATACAAAGAGAGAAATACAGGAGGCCTTTGTTCTGGCACAGGTAAAGCATATAAGGCTTGACACCTGCATCCCCTGTTTCTCTTTCCTCTTTCTGGATCAGTTGATCTGCCGGTGATGGCTTCACAGATTCTGTATGAATACCATCTGTCTCCTTCACTGATACTTCCTTAGATCTTCGAGTGGTTATATTGTTACTAACATCGGAAACACCAATTGTATCTTTATGGGCATTTACAAGGTCTTTAAATTCTTCACAATCTGCCAATAGATCTTGATAAGGTGCAGACCTAATAACCTCTCCATCTGACATTAACTGCCAAAAATCGTCATTAGTTTTAGATGACATCAGTATATTAAAAAAGCTAATTACAGATAAATATAAATCAGACACAAATATCATCATATGGTCATTTTTCCGAAGTGAAGAGAGGTACCAAAATGGAGTCAAATACAGGTAGAAAATCCACTTGGTGCGTCACCAAGAGAACAGTCTTGTCCGATAGAGCACTCATGACATATTCCTGTTACAAAGAGCTTTGTAAAACTGTTCATGATCAAATATTAATACGATCTGCATCTGATGATATGATCCTTACATTGAATAGACTTGTGGCTGTATGGGCATCAACAGCACTGAAAGGATCGTCAAGAAGATAGATGTCTGCATTTTGGTATAGTGCACGAGCAAGCTGGACGCGCTGCTTCTGACCACCACTAAGATTAACTCCTCTCTCTCCAATTTGAGTACAATCTCCATATGGCAACACTTCAAGGTCCTTGACCAACGAGCACCTCGCCAGTGTGTTGTGGTATCTTTCCCTGTCCATCGGTGATCCAAAGAGAATATTGCCTTGCACAGTTCCTGTTTGGATCCATGCATTCTGGGAAATATATGCTATTTTCCCACAGACTTGGATCTGAAATGTTTATGCAATGATCATGAAGTTGACATTAATCTGTTATGAAAAACAATAACATCATGCTTCCAAATGTTATCTTTTTTTAGAAAGTGCAAAAGCTTTGCTTCTCATTGTATTGAAAAAGCAGGAACAATGTTATTTACAAGCCCAAGAGGGCAGGAACAGAAC